ACATGTCATCCTTGGCTCCTCCCATTCCATCCACACCAGGGCTGACAATTCCACCTACTACATACATATAGAGCCCATGCCTCCTGCATGGCACCCCACTAGTTAAGTTTCCATCACATGAATGGTCTCCTCACTGGTCTCTCCACATCCACTCTCACTCTTCAGTAGCCCCCCACCCCAGTCCATTTCCCATCCACCCAGAGCAATCCTGTTAATATACAAATCTGATCATGCCAGTCCCCTGCTCAACACCGTGTTTTACATCCCACTAGTCAGAAGTCCCTTATTAGAGTCTCCACTGGACACTTAGCACACCTTAGGACCTGAGAGGGCAGGGGTCTTCCTGGGATTGGTAGCCTTGGAGGAACACAGGGGAAATAACTGGTATACTGGGAGATGGCCCTGAAAAACCCCAACTGTGGATCCATGAGCTGCTGTGATGGGCAAGAGAATGCCTCAAGGGGAATGAGTCCAGAGAAGCAGGAGTTGGCAGCATGCCACACCAGGCTTTCCCCCAGGCCACCTAGGCCACTTAAGTTCATTTTATTTGGTATCTAATGGAAGGAAATTAAATCCAAGTGAGTTTTAATGTGTCTGTTCAAGTGCCAGTCCCACCTGCCCCCGTTCCCCCAGGGTCTGGGGCAATAGGTGGGAAGAGGGAAGGCAGGCTCCAGGGGTGCTTGTTGGGGGAGGGGGAGTATAGCCTCCCCCAGCTCTGCTAAGGTAGGCCCAATACCAGTCCACGGGTTTCAAGACCTCCTCCTGCTTCCCCTCCCTGCCCACCTGTAGATTCCAGGAACGCTGGCTCAGGGCCGGGATCCTTCCCTCCCTCGCCTCTTGAGCCCTCACCAGGATCCAGGGATGCAAGGTAGGACTCATACCTCCTTTTCACAGAGGACACAGCATCGACTTGTCCAAGGTCACTGCCTTTTCTCTGTCTGGAGCTGTGCTATCCAATACGGTAGCCACTAGTCACATGTGGTTATGGAACACTCAAAACGTGGTCAGATTGAATTGAGATGTGCTGCACATGTAAGGCACACTAGATTTCAAAGATGTAGTACAGGAGAGGAACCAAGATGGCGGCATAGGCATATGCCTATACTTGCCGCCTCCCCTAAAATACAGAACCACCGTCATCCAGAACCACCGGAAACCAGGCTGAATGGAAGTCCTACAACTAGAGAAGTAAAGAGGAAAGCACACTGAGCCTAGTAGGAGGTTCAGAGGCGTGGAACAGACTTGTCCTGCACCCACATAAGCCACTTCTTTAATCAAGAGGGAGATTGTCTCTTTGGAGACCGTCCGGAGAAGCAAGGGGTCCCAGCCCCACACCCGACCCCCAGCCCAGAGTCCCAGAGCTGGGAAAAGAAGTCCCTGTAACTGCGGACTGTAAAAACCAGTGTGAGTTAGAGCTCAGTGACACTGAGGCTGCTGGAGGCCCAGCTGTTCCTCTTAAAAGGCCGGCACCATGAACTGAACTTACAAGGTCCTGCTTCCTCTGAGCTCCAGCACCACGGCGAGGCTCTGGGGGACACATTTGTCTGGCATCAGGGCAGGAACTTGGGGGTGGCTTTCTCCCAGACAGAGGCACTCACAGGGATCATTGTTCCTTGCTGGGTCCTCCCTGGTCGCAGGACTGACTGGCAGCCATTTCTGCTTGCTCCACCCTGGTGATTCTCTAAGACCCAGCCTCATCCAATTTACAACCCTACCCCAGCTGCCTGCAACAGCTTTTGCATATGAATGGCCTGTCCTTGAAAATCTCAAACAAGCTGCAGCTGGGTCAGGGAGTCCCAAACCTATCAATAAAAGGCCCAAGACCCGGCACTAGCACCAGCCTTCCTTGCTTCACAGCTGGGCCTCATGTGGGCACTTCCAAACTGTATATAACGAGGTGGAATCTGCAGATCTCTCTGTAGCTCCTGCTGGGTGGCCCCAGGCAATGGCTGACTTTGCACCTCCCAGGAGACCTAAGAGCCAGTGTACCCAGTGGTCAGTGTCAGGCCATACCAGATGACAACTCTACACATCCAGAAGTGACACACTTAAGGGGAAGACTCAGTGAGCACCAAAGCCCCACTGAAGCAAGTCCTGCACAGCAGCTCTCCCACTGTAGTTGCAGCTGGTCCCCACAGCCAATTGGCCTGGAGGTCAATTCCTCCCAGTGAATCCAACAGCAATCAAGTCTCAACTACAAGACTGTGCACATAGCCCAGCATCTAGAGCTCCCAGCTCAGGGCCCTATAGGACACCTATTACACAAGGCCACTCTACCAACTCAAGGAGACATAGCAGCTCTACCCAATACATAGAAACAAACATAGGGAAGCAGCCAAAATGCAGAGACAAAGAAACATGTCACAAATGAAAGGTATGGAAGAAAGCAAACTACTGGGTATAGAGATCAAAACTACAGTTATAAGGTTACTCAAGAATCTTCTAGAAACATCCAAGGGAGTTAGTGAAACTTTCAAGGATCTTAGTGAGGCCAACACATGGAAAAGGACCAGTCAGACATTAAGCATACACTAATTGAAATAAATAATAATATACAGGGATTCAACAGTAGACTAGAGGATTCTGATAATCAAAGCAATGATGTGAAATATGAGGAAGCAAACAAACATCCAACCAGAAGAGTAAAAAGAAGTAAGAATCCAAAAATATGAAGATAGTGTAAGGAGCCTCTGGGACTTCAAGTGTACCAACATTCATATTATGGGGGAGCCAGAAGAAGAGAGAGCAAGATATTGAAAACCTATGTGAAGAAATAATGCCAAAAATCTTCCCCTACCTGGTGAAAGAAATAGACTTACAAGTCCAGGAAGCACAGAGAATCCCATACAAGACGGAACCCAAAGAGGACCACATGAAGACACATCACAATTAAAACGCCAAGGGCTAAAGACAAAAAATCTTAAAAGCAGCAAGAGAAAAGCAGTTCGTTACCTACAACTGAATGCCCATACGACTGTCAGCTGATTTCTCAACAGAAACTATGTAGGCCAGAGGGAGTGGCAAGAAATATTCAAAGTGATAAATAGCAAGGACCTAAAACCAAGATTACTCTACCCAGCAAAGCTATCATTTAGAATCGAAGGTCAGATAAAGAGCTTCACAGACAAGAAAAAGCTAAAGAAGTTCATCACCACCAAACCAGTATTATATGAAATGTTGAAGGGTATTCTTTAAGAAGAGGAAGAAGAAAAAGATAAAAAATATGAACAACAAAATGGCAACAAATAAATACCTATCAACAATTGAATCTAAAAATCAAAAGAAATGATAAGAAATCTAATGAACAGAATAAACGAATAAACTGGTGAATAAAATAGAATCAGAGGCATGGAAATGGAACAGACTGACAATTCTCAGAGAGAAGGGTGTGGGGTGGGGAGAGATTAAACAAAGATCTTATATGTATATATGCATTACCTAGGGACACAAACAATAGGGTGGTGAAGGCCTGGGGCAGGGCGAGCCAGGTGTGAAGTGGGGCAATGGAAGGAAAAGGGGGACATCAATAATATTCTCAACAATAAACACTAAAATAATATTTGTTTAGAACATA